TACACGGCTGGGCCTATTAACCGTGGGCTTAATAACCGGCGACTACTGTATCATGAACCCAGCTGTGGAATTTTGAGCTGACTAAAACGTAATCAATCTGACTGGCCGTATGACCGTCTCTGGAGTACCAGGTTAGCAAATGTTTATTGTGGTGCTGAAAGCACGTGTTTATAACAAACAGTCAGTTCCATTCAGCAAAGTTCAACAATCTTTCACCATTCTCACATGGAGAACCAAGGCCAAAGAGGCCGATAAGATGAATGTTTGTGCAGTAACCAGGCCCGTTCCGGCCATTCCAGCCCCCGGCATCAATCAACCGATCGCGGGGAGGGAACCTTTTAACCAAGATTTGTAGCTGTGAGTAAAACATCTCCTTATGGCACTGGTCGGCAGCGGAGGTTGGTGCATATACTGCGACGACAGATATATTTGTGAAGTGACCCTTCAATCACACATAAGCCATGCGTTCATTGACTGGTTCCCAGGCAAGTAGTGCACGGCTCGCTTGTTGCGAGAGGGCCATTGCCACACCATATCTGCCGCAGGAGTCATGCAGGCCACTGTGTTATAAGGTGAAGTGTCTCCAGGAAATTTTAGTTTCTGAACGCCCGAGTCAGGAAGTCGGACTTCGGATAGGCAGCACCGATAAAGGCTGTGCACCGTCAGACTTTGGTTACCAGGGGCCAGGAACGTTCGCACATTCCAGCAGCCAAGGGTTGCGGAGCGCGTCGTTTCCCGTGGACGCCGTAGCATGGATCATAGGGCAGTTATCAGGCAACGTTTTTCATGAGGTGTCTTGGGAATTGTGAGCACGGGCGGGTCCCCAACAGCCGCTCGGATTGTTTGTTCCAGGTTGTCTCCTCTAGAGCTTTGGCTCAATATCCTCAATACAAGGCAGCGGTGGCAAGCGAACTTATTGAATGGCGCTTCATGCTCGCCATGTCACAGTGCCGTCGTCAGGCTTTGCGACACTTTATAGGCCTTTGGCTTGCCAAACATCAGCCGCCGCGCCCTGGTAGCACTGCCGTTGCCGGTCCGCGACTGCTT